AATCTACCGCGTTTAATCTACAGGAAGGACACATCCCCTAATTTACAACCAGCTTGTCGAATACCGAGTTTTCATTAATTATTCTCGGATCCCCGTCGAACCGATGATTACATCGAATTCCGCGAATTCGCGCAAATACGCTGGGGATCGGCGCGACGAGTAATTACGAGCACGAATAAACGCGAGAGAGAAGCCGGCGCCGCTTATAATTAAATGCATTCCTCTCCCTTTTTTTTTTTGGTTCTCTTTCGTAGCGGGATAAAATTTGCAAGAACTCGAGGTATCACCGGAGCGCGTTCGTATTCACGTTTCGCATTCACGCGCGCAATTTCGATGCGATACGATACGATAACTGCACGCTATTTCGGTCGATCTGCACGATAAACGAACGCGTTTATGTCTGCGTTTCGCCGTAAAATAAGCGGCGATTCTATTTACCGAACATTGAAATATGATGCTTTTAATGAAATTATATCCGGCAATGCGGCGGCCGAAAACCAAGCGACCGCTCAGATAGACCGCGCTCGAAGTTTCTGCACATCAGTTTTGTATGCTTACGTGTATGGCATTATTTTGCAGTTTATTATTAATGTTGTCCCGATGCGTGCCGCTAATAACGAAAAAAACTTAACTGAAAAACGCCTATTTTTGCGTGCACATGTATCAATATTTTACAGTTACTTTCAAGCAATTATCAAGCGATTATATATTTTTTTCCTTCAATTTTTCTTTCCCGAATATTTTTTAGAAAATGTCGGGGATTATTCAGTACTTAAATTACGTTTACATGTACGAGGTGCAACGTGTCGATCTCGCGCGAAACTTTCGTAACGATGCGAGAATCGAGCATTAAAAAACACTCGGCCCGATACCGGCGTCGAATTTTGGCACGCTGAAAGATACGCGAACGCGCGAGGGATTAAACGATCGACCGGTCGAGCTATCAGAATCGGTGATACGAAAAGCCGGGGATCTCCATCAAACTGATAACGCATATTCGCGTAATGCGTCGACAGCGCGAGACTGGCAGGTACGCGGGGGTAGGGGGTAGTGGGGCGAGGGGAAGGGGGACACACGAAGGGAGAAACGCGCGAAAGGCACGGGGAATAGGTACTGCAAGGTAAACGATATTTACGTGGCTGGAAGATCGATAGCAATTTAGCCACCCTTCGCCGTTCTGAACGAACACCTCCCGGCGGCGACGGCGGTGGCGCACAGCCGCGTCATCCCCCATCCTTCCTCCCACCCGCCCACGTCGTTACGCACAGGTACATCCACCATCACCAACGCTCCTTTCTTCCACCTTCGTCTGTCTTTCTCTCCTGCATCTCTCCCGCAACGTGGCCTAGTCAGAACTCATCCATATACATCGAGAAAATTAATATCTGGGCTTCGTCGGGTTCGTTCGCGCGCGCTGTGAATAAACCCGGTTGCGCCGCCTGGGTTTCCAACCCCTCGTCTAAAGACCCCCCTCCTCGCTCTTCCGGCGCCTTCCTTTCGCCCCTTTCTCGCGCCGGTAGCGATCAACGTCGTGCAGCTTCCTCTCCTCGTTCCGTCGCTTTTTCACCCCGCGCGCGAATGGCTCTCAGTCCCGATTGTACTAAACATCGTTTAGCGCCAGCTTCGGTTAAATAAATTCCTTTGTTATTTCCGTATCCTATGGAATAACATTGTTGCTGGGAAACTTTTATAGGACATAACGTTACGCGTGACTATCCTTCTTGACATTTAGATATAACTTGAATTAATCATGAGAGTTGTTCCAAGCGCATGTTAACTGCGAAATATATTCATAATGAACTCCGATGCAAGCAACACCGGACCCTGGCTCGATATTAATAATCGTGGCGAGAGAATTGCGTGTTTCTTTTGTTGGTGTTTCCTCCTTTCGAAAGATGCGCAACCGACATTTTCTATTATGATTTTATTCCGCTCCATGAAGAGTATATTGACATGTTGTATATTTATTGATATTATTGACATTGTTGTGTATTTTGTATTATTTTTTTCTCTGGATCGTGGTTTAGCATACATTATTTGAAATCCTATCAAAGAATCTCCCGCGTCAATGTCTAATTAAAAAATTACACGCGTTTCCAATTCCTGGCGCGGTTTTTCGGCTTTCAAAAGAGCTCGGGGGGATTTTTCAATACTTACGGATGGTATTTTCGCGGAAATACATCGCGAGAGATTTAATGTATAATTTACATCGATATCCGATCCTTCGCATATTTTTCACAGGCACGGTTGCGATCACCCTTATTCGTCATTCCGCTGCACGTCGACGTTGTAACCAGGGGTAACGTCCGGCGTATAGCCGCGCACGCCGCTTATATTTACATATTTAACTAACCCAACGGCGCGAGCATTAACGCAAACACAGACGGATAATCCGGAATATATTAATCCGCGGCGGGCGCATACCATCGCTTTGAATTAACGCGAATATTCCTGTGTAAGCCCCCGCACGCGCGGCAACGTCGAATCGGACGAGTGCACCACCTCGCATGCATATTGCAGATATGTTAATGCGCTTTCTCTCTCTCTCTCTCTCTCTCTCTCTCTCTTTCCCTCTCTCTTCTTCTTCCTCCTCTTCCTATCTCTATCTGTTTCCCTCGATCTCGCAGCGTAGCCGTTTCCCCGATGCAGTCGGATGCGCACTTTAACGACATAAGTGGAGAACGAGGGGGTGGAAACGAGGCACATGACGCTGCCGAACGTCGCTATCGGAATGTCCCCCTTGTCTCCCTCCGAACGAGTTAATCTGCCTGAGGGAAGTGAAATGCATCGGGGAGAAGTCGCATTAATGCAGGAACAAACGATTGTCGTTGTGGATGCAATAAATGCGGTCTTCGTCAACCGCGTTCGTGTTACGGCGAGATGTTACCCTCCACTTTAGCGTTTCATATATTCATATATTCATATATTCCTGACATATATTCCTGAGAAAGAGAATATTTTGTTTAAGGATTAATTTATCCCTTTAGCTTAACAACAAACAAATAAACGATCGCGTGCAGTATTATGACACGGTGTGTGTATATTATTATGTGATGTTATAACCCCTGTTATACCGGGGTTAATGCGTGTCAATATTATTATTGACGTGTACAAAATATCTACCGGTATAAAGCCCAAATCTGGTTGGTTTCGGCAGAAAACGATATTTGCCCGCACTAGTGACTATTGTTATCGGTGTTCTATTGACTACAACGTCAATCGACTGATCCGGGAGAATGTGATTTCGCGTTATTGTTGAGGCTTATTAGGATATATATTGGTAGCCTCTCGACAATGTTGCCACCATGGATCAACGTTCGCGTTGTCTATCGATATTCGCGATATATTTTCTGCGAGTCTCCGGATGTGCAAACCCGACGATGAGAGAAAGGGTCGAAAGCCGCGGACGACGGAGCCTTCGTAAGCCGCTTTCGTTCGTATCCTCGAGGGGATTTAAGTCCCGACTCGTGCAGATCAAATTGTCGTCAAATATTTACGGGTGCGGGGTCATTCGTCGTGCAGCGCTTCGAGTATGTCGTATGTCGCCGCGACTTGCCACGTCCTCACGAATCGAACGGGGGAGGAATCGACGCCGGATGAAGACGCCACCGCTTCTTCTGCGCCGCCGTCACGCGCCCGCCAAACGCGTTCTGAATTTTAATAAGTCGTAAAATCGGGCGAACCGGCTTAATCCCCCGATTTCTCATCCAACGCGTATCTCGTTATCGATCTTCGTCAATCGTCGTTAGTCGTTTAAAGAATATTCTTTCTCAGATCGAAGTACTCTTTGCCTTGATCTATATCTCATTTCCTGTTCCTCCGTAATAAATCTCGCATAAAATTCGTTATAAATAAAAATTCGTGCAAGTTTCATCTGGATCCTCATCAGAGGGATTTTTCGTCTATTTTTCTTTCTTTAGAAAATTCACGAATTCTTTTTGTATGTCAGATTGTAGATATTGAGCGATGAATTGAAATTGATAATCCTCTTATGCGTTCCGATATTGCTTCGATCGGAATATCATTAATTATAGAACGGGTGTACACTTAATGTAAGTGGGATGGCTAGTATCCTAAAATGCACAAAGTTTGGCGCATAGCTATTCTCGTCGTATCGCGAAACCATCCGGAGTCTCGAGAGATCTTCACTGTCTGCGAGATCTTTCGAGTGTGCTCCACCGTTGTTGCCGTGTAGTGGCGAGATATGCGAAAGATATGCAAGTTATGCTACTCTTGTGCAACTGAGAAATTCTCGTTCAGTCTGCAGTGGGTAATTTTGTCGCGCGTTGATAATAGAGTGGAAATACAGCTAATGAGTGCCCTAAATTAAAGCGTGTAATATATTTTTGGGGAACTCTTCTTGAATTGTACTTTCTTTAGATGTTTCCGTATCGTCAATTCTTTCGTTCAAAAATAGCGAGAGAAAAAAAATGGAACTATTTCCAGATTAACAGATGATATTATGTGAAAAATGATAATGAAAATTTTGAATGCTGTGTATATAAATGGAATTTGTACGCGTTGTTTATAGAGTGAATTATTTTCGTGGTACGCATTTTTAGCGCGCGAAGAATCTTGTTCGTTTGTCAACGCCATCACTTGTCAATCTCAAGATTGCGTTAGCTGGCATCGAGACGAATCGGCGTCGAAAGAGATTTCAAGTGGACGCTTTCGTCTTTAGCCGATCGTGTTCTCTGAGTCGAACATGTGCTATTTTATTTTTTAAATCCACATATTATTGCCATTCAATGACAAATACAAACCCGAAGTATGTGTCGAGAAGTTGTTTACATTGTTAGTACATTAGAAACTTCCGAAAGTATTAGATAAGCGAAGTGTTGGACAAAAAGTTTTTTGTATATTTGATAATTAATTAATTATATAATATATTGCAAATTTCATTTTGCATTTAGAACCATCAGCAAAATTAATTCACTTTGCATTACAAACATTGGTTGCTATGTATAATATAACGCTAATGATTTATTTTTGCATTTCAGGAAATGGAAATTTAGAGTTGTTCGATAGTGAGAGCGGGCCGGACCTCACGCTATCACCTCAAACCTTTACATCAACGGCGGAGGCCTTCATCAATGACAATAGCGACAGTCTCGGAGTTCCAGGAGACAACGATACCGGCAAGTTATTCTTATTCAATTATCCATTTATGATCTATTTGAGATGAAAAGGATCGTATTATGGAAAAAAGTGAATGCTTCATTTATTCTTGTCGAAAAATAGCCAAAATTCAATAATTGACCGACGAGCGAAAGAGATCTTTGATGTACTACGAACTACGTCAAAGAATAATGAACTTTTTATTTGGCTTTTTATTTGGCTTAACTCAATAATTTATCGCTAACGACGAAGTCTCGCGGCAATCCTCGCGTCGTTCCACAATTGAAATGCTTAATTTCTGAATTTCGACTTGGGATAAGACGATGAATCATAGGATAACTGCGACAATGCAATTCGCGTAACAATGATTTTAACGCGCGACTTCCCGTAATTCGATTTAATTCAATCTGCGAGAGTGCAAAACGTCGATGGGGCGCCGAGTCGTTAAGCGGCGGAACACGGGACAATGCATTAACGTAATTGTTGCTCTCCTCGTCAGCGGCACGTAGGAACAGCGGTTATAACTAGTTCGAACAAGTCAGAGGGGAAGGGAAAGCCGTTGTCGCGCGTGTGCCGCCGCACATAATGCCTATTGTTTCCGACAAGTATAAGGGGCCACCGTCGGGACAGTCGTGCACAAGTGCAACGCGCGCGTATTGTTTCTTGGGGAAATGTTGAGGGACAATCAGGACCAGCCGGTGGGTGTAACAGTAATTTCAATTATTACATTCCACTTCCTACGAGCGAAGATAGCCATTAATTTGCTGCACCTGTGGAAAATAAGAAATTTTACGATGCTCTTTTTTTATATCATTTTTTTATAACATTTTTTGCTAAAGAGAATATCGTAATATAAATTTTTGGTGGAGCGCAAAAATATAATACCTTTCGAATCGATTACATTGTTTACATCGAACGGTAGGCGCAAATTTATTTATTTCCTTCGGACCGACTTAACTAATCTTCTTACTTTTCTAACACGCATGTTTCCCGTGTTTTCGAGTATTTGGCAGAACATTTTAAATCATCAGTCTGCTTCAGAAAATTGTGTTGTATATTCGGCATCGGACATTATTTTCTAAATAGCAGCTTTCAGCAAATGTGTTCCAATGAATCGCGCGCGTTCTATTTATAAGACGCGATGAAAAACGTCGCAGCTTGCATCTCTTAGCGACGTCATTAATATCATCGCGCCTCTCCCATGCGAAATTTAACGAATGTAGGTTGAGCCAAAAATTGTAATCAATGCGTATCGGGACATGTGTGCCGTATAAATTATTCGAGAAATGTTTCACACATACGGTTCACAATACGGGGAAGATATCGAGTTATATGCGTAGAATGTTGATTTAGCATATCCGTTTCGCCGATTTCGCCGCAAGAATGAATATTGCCGCATCGTAGTTCGTAGTATCGATATCGCGAATCACCTGATCGATGTCATTCAATTCGTCTCGATGATCGCGATTTCACGAGCCAAAGTTGCTCTGATCGTGAAACATGAGCCAACAATTACGCGCGTCATCACAGTGCTCGCATTACATTTCCGCAAGACGCATCGCACCCTAATTATGTTGTCCAAGTTTATTATCTCTTGTCTGAATGAGAAATTGTAAGTGGTTTTCGTAAATAATTTCTAATTGCACGAGAGAGACACAACATTAAAAAAATATTCAAAAAGAATTCTTTAAGAAATCTAACGTCATCAAAATTTCATCTAGAGCTATTTTTCGCAATTTTTGAGTTTTATATTTTGAAATTCTATAGACAAAAATGTTAGAGGTTCAGTTAAAATTTGATTAAAAGATATAGTCACACGTTCATAAATCGTAAAATCGGTTTAGAAGCGTTACCTATATTTATATTTTGTCAAATAGACTTTTTGATAAATCTTGCAAAACAACTCGTGCAATTCGAGCGCTTTTCATCTCGTTTGATTTTAGTTTCGTGTTCCTTATATTTCGCGGTATATAAGCTTCTTCTCCATTATTCTTTGATACTTTGTACATGTTGGGTGGATTTATTGGAGAGTCGGTTCGCGACAAGCGAAACGCGCGCGTGAAAGAGGAAGACAGAGAGAGAAAGGAAATCGACCCCGGATTTCGCCGCCAAACTCCAAACGAGCGCGGTCGGCGTAGCCCCTCTTTGTGGGACGTGCGTATAGGGGGTTGCACATAACTTTCATGCGAGTGTAAGTTCGTTAGAACAATTTCGCGGCGAGTGGTTGTACCGATGCGATGCGACGCGACGGTGCGGAGAGGCCGCAGAGCTTCCGACGCGGAAGGCCGCACGGATATGCGGCTCGCCTATGAATAAATCTCATCACGGCAAGACGGTATTTGAATATATCATCTGGCATAAGACATTCCAAGTATCGTTTGTGCGACCGGCGTAATACGTGAAAGGAAACAATTTTGCCCTTTATATCTACCAAAATAAATGGCGATGAAATATTTCGGACGCGTATACTTAGCGAAGAGAATTAAATTTAATATTTAACGAATATCTCTGAATATTTCTATCGTGAAACCGAATCGCGGTTTCTCTCCAATCGAATGTACCTTATTCAGCTTTTGCAATGCTTACAAAATGAAGCTCGTTTTACAATAATAGCCGTGATATTTTTACTACCGTATTTTCGATACCACGCATTCGTTTCGCAAACGTATGCTACGATTTCCTACGGTAGTAATTGATATTTTGTTTTGTGCCAGAATTAATATACCGTCATGCGAATCATTTTCCTATCGGAGACGAAAGGAACAAATGTAAATTTCACGAGGAAAGTTCGATTTCGTGCTTCTCGCTGCGAAAGCAATCCGACACACCCTGATTGCGGGTCGCGTAAACGAATGAAACGAGCTGAACGGTCGGGTAATTCGCGATAGCTCCCATTGTTCTTGAAACAACGCCGTGAACTGGATAGTAAGAAGGCAAGAGCGCAATCGCAGTGAAACATGATGCAGTTTATTTCGGCGCACCGGTCGCATTCGTGATTTCGTCGAGTCTCGAGATGCATGTCGTTGTTTTTTATCAGCCCGCTATGTGATATCCGACGTTAATTCGGCTCGTTTCGGCGATCCGGATTGATTTAGAAAAACAATGCTGCGCTTCGAAACTTTAAATTACTCTTATTCCCTCGTTTCGAAGAAATTACCAGTCTTAATATATCATTTCCATTCGACCAACGAGTCGAAGAAATGAGAGAGAAAGAGTTTCCCTGGTCGTTGTTAGGCATTCAGAAACTTCTCTCTTCTCTGCATTTATTGTTTTTTAACTTTATTGTCTTTAAATGTTGTTGACGCGGATTATCAACTTTTGCTCGGAAAGGCTCCAACTTTCCCTCGCGTTTCTCAAATTGATCATTTCAAGAAGCTGCAGCACGTTTTTCCAGCGTAATTGCATAAGTTTCGATTTTTGGAGTAGAGGCATCGATTACAAGAGATCGTGAACGATGATTATGACCAAGCTATCATTAGTAGTCGCTGCATATTCTATTTATGACTTGTGATTGATGTGGTATCAATATGCCCGAATCGTAATGGAGGTAGTTGCGACATGCGTTGATTAATTAACTACGACAATAAAATGTGATTTCCGACATAGGAAATCTGTAGAATCTGAAATGTATTGTTTATGAGAGAAAAATGATAGATGCTGATGGGCACAGATGCCGTCCAGTAATCCAGTAAGCTACAATTAAGCTACAATCTAATACATATTGTTAAAATTTTATTACGCGAAATGTATATATTGTAACATCATTGTAATAATGTTTAATACTTGATTCTCCTCAAGTATGCAATATGCATTATATATGTCATTAAATCATTTTATATGTTATTAATTAATATGGTGAAATGCGTTATTGTCATTGACTAGCCAATGATCATAATGTCGAATTACGTTTCTTCAGATTGTAAGGTAAATTTTTTTATCATCTAATCTTAACATTGAAAGAAATATCACTGTTACTTGATTACGCTATTTTACAATGATTACAATATTTTATCGTCCTTAACGCTATTAAAGAGAAGAACGTTTCTGTAGAATTAAGATCTGGAATAATTCAAGTTTTTATGATGATAGATTAGATTTTTTCTTGGTGATAAATTCTGAAATTTGCTAGTCTTTCTGAAAGACACTCGAATATATTTTGGGTGCGTAATAATTTTTCTCTTTTTGTAATATCAATTCTTGATTTTGAGGATGAAAAAAAAAACATTTAAAGGTGAAATGAAACATTTCGCACGTGATGACTTTTTTTATTTCTTTTTTGTTAAATTAGAAGGGAATGGAATTTCAGTTTAGGAGGTTTTTAGGATTGTTTTATTCGTCGATTAATTAACGAGAGAATGTTTCCGATAATACACGAGGAGAAAGAGGAGAAAGAGAGAGGCCGACGATAATGACGGCGTGGCGCATTGGCGATCGATACAACACCAGCCCAATGGCGCTCTCTAAATAATACTGATTGAAATTCGTCGATGCAATTGCAAAAATCTACAGCCCGCGGTCGTCGCGATGCCAAGTTGGCCGAGGTGCAGAGATATCGAAATAGATCCGTAGGAAACTCGTCCTCGGATTTCTTCGTTCGCTCTTATCCTTTCTCGCCCTCGCGCTGTCCTCCTCCCACTCCTCCGTCTCTTCTTCCTTGCTTTTCATCCTCCGTTGGAGGGAATTCACTTCGTCGGATAGTCCTCTGAGATTCCAATGCGCTCTCAAACACGCTGAGATTACGTCGGAGCTTATGGATTCCTTATCCAATCTTTCGATCAGCACTCGGCATCTTACGCTCTTAGAATCGCACGTCTACGTAGGATTCATTCGCGAGAAACTTGATTTTATGTGTCAAATGATGCTAAATTGACCCGAGTCTGGCGAACAACGGCATTCTCAATGGAAAAAGAGATTTTCCTTTAATGTAGACGCGAAAACGAATGAAACTTACTAAATTTATGTCTAACTTCTAACTCCTTTGTGTTAGCAGAATAATACGTATTTAGAAAGAAAATTAATTGTTGACTGCAGTTTAATAATAAAACTCGAAAGATGTAATTGATTAAA